CAGCACTGTGTGGACCCTGAGAGTTACGGCAGCAGTACTGAGGGGACCCTGAGAGTGACGGCAGCAGTACTGTGTGGACCCTGAGAGTGACGGCAGCAGTACTGAGGGGACCCTGAGAGTGACGGCATCAGTACTGTGTGGACCCTGAGAGTGACGGCAGCAGTACTGAGGGGACCCTGAGAGTGACGGCAGCAGTACTGTGTGGACCCTGAGAGTGACGGCAGCAGTACTGAGGGGACCCTGAGAGTGACGGCAGCAGTACTGTGTGGACCCTGAGAGTGACGGCAGCAGTACTGAGGGGACCCTGAGAGTGACGGCAGCAGTACTGTGTGGACCCTGAGAGTGACGGCAGCAGTACTGAGGGGACCCTGAGAGTGACGGCAGCAGTACTGTGTGGACCCTGAGAATGACGGCAGCAGTACTGAGGGGACCCTGAGATTGATGGCAGCAGTACTGTGTGGACCCTGAGAGTGACGGCAGCAGCACTGTGTGGACCCTGAGAGTGACGGCAGCAGCACTCTGTGGACCCTGAGAGTGACGGCAGCAGCACTGTGTGGACCCTGAGAGTGACGGCAGCAGCACTGTGTGGACCATGAGAGTGACGGCAGCAGCACTGTGTGGACCCTGAGAGTGACGGCAGCAGCACTGTGTGGACCCTGAGAGTGACGGCAGCAGCACTGTGTGGACCCTGAGAGTGACGGCAGCCGCACTGTGTGGACCCTGAGAGTGACGGCAGCAGCACTGTGTGGACCCTGAGAGTGACGGCAGCAGCACTGTGTGGACCCTGAGAGTGACGGCAGCAGCACTGTGTGGACCCTGAGAGTGACGGCAGCAGTACTGTGTGGACCCTGAGAGTGACGGCAGAAGTACTGTGTGGACCCTGAGAGTGACGGCAGCAGTACTGTGTGGACCCTGAGAGTGACGGCAGCAGCACTGTGTGGACCCTGAGAGTGACAGCAGCAGCACTGTGTGGACCCTGAGAGTGACGGCAGCAGCACTGTGTGGACCCTGAGAGTGACGGCAGCAGCACTGTGTGGACCCTGAGAGTGACGGCAGAAGTACTATGTGGACCCTGAGAGTGACGACAGCAGTACTGTGTGGACCCTGAGAGTGACGGCAGCAGCACTGTGTGGACCCTGAGAGTGATGGCAGCAGTACTGTGTGGACCCTGAGAGTGATGGCAGCAGTACTGTGTGGACCCTGAGAGTGACAGCAGCAGTACTGAGTGGACCCTGAGAGTGACGGCAGCAGTACTGTGTGGACCCTGAGAGTGACGGCAGCAGTACTGTGTGGACCCTGAGAGTGACGGCAGCAGCACTGTGTGTATCCTGAGAGTGACAGCAGCAGCACTGTGTGGACCCTGAGAGTGACGGCAGCAGTACTGTGTGGACCCTGAGAGTGACGGCAGCAGTACTGTGTGAACCCTGAGAGTGACGGCAGCAGCACTGTGTGGACCCTGAGAGTGACGGCAGCAGTACTGAGGGGACCCTGAGAGTGACGGCAGCAGTACTGTTTGGACCCTGAGAGTGACGGCAGCAGTACTGTGTGGTCCCTGAGAGTGACGGCAGAAGTACTGAGTGGACCCTGAGAGTGACGGCAGCAGCACTGTGTGGACCCTGAGAGTGACGGCAGCAGCACTGTGTGGACCCTGAGAGTGACGGCAGCAGTACTGTGTGGACCCTGAGAGTGACGGCAGCAGTACTGTGTGGACCCTGAGAGTGACGGCAGCAGCACTGTGTGGACCCTGAGAGTGACGGCAGCAGCACTCTGTGGACCCTGAGAGTGACGGCAGCAGCACTGTGTGGACCCTGAGAGTGACGGCAGCAGTACTGTGTGGACCCTGAGAGTGACGGCAGCAGTACTGTGTGGACCCTGAGAGTGACGGCAGCAGCACTGTGTGGACCCTGAGAGTGACGGCAGCAGCACTCTGTGGACCCTGAGAGTGACGGCAGCAGTACTGTGTGGACCCTGAGAGTGACGGCAGCAGCACTGTGTGGACCCTGAGAGTGACGGCAGCAGCACTGTGTGGACCCTGAGAGTGACGGCAGCAGCACTGTGTGGACCCTGAGAGTGATGGCAGCAGTACTGTGTGGACCCTGAGAGTGACAGCAGCAGTACTGAGTGGACCCTGAGAGTGACGGCAGCAGTACTGTGTGGACCCTGAGAGTGACGGCAGCAGTACTGAGGGGACCCTGAGAGTGACGGCAACAGTACTGTGTGGAACCTGAGAGTGACGGCAGCAGTACTGAGTGGACCCTGAGAGTGACGGCAGCAGTACTGTGTGGACCCTGAGAGTGACGGCAGCAGTACTGTGTGGACCCTGAGAGTGACGGCAGCAGTACTGTGTGGACCCTGAGAGTGACGGCAGCAGTACTGAGGGGACCCTGAGAGTGACGGCAGCAGTACTGTGTGGACCCTGAGAGTGACGGCAGCAGTACTTAGGGGACCCTGAGAGTGACGGCAGCAGTACTGTGTGGACCCTGAGAGTGACGGCAGCAGTACTGTGTGGACCCTGAGAGTGACGGCAGCAGTACTAAATGGACCCTGAGAGTGACGGCAGCAGTACTGAGGGGACCCTGAGAGTGACGGCAGCAGTACTGTGTGAACCCTGAGAGTGACGGCAGCAGTACTGAGGGGACCCTGAGAGTGATGGCAGCAGTACTGTGTGGACCCTGAGAGTGACGGCAGCAGTACTGAGGGGACCCTGAGAGTGACGGCAGCAGTACTGTGTGGACCCTGAGAGTGACGGCAGCAGTACTGTGTGGACCCTGAGAGTGACAGCAGCAGCACTGTGTGGACCCTGAGAGTGACGGCAGCAGTACTGAGGGGAACCTGAGAGTGACGGCAGCAGTACTTTGTGGACCCTGAGAGTGACGGCAGCAGTACTGAGGGGACCCTGAGAGTGACGGCAGCAGTACTGTGTGGACCCTGAGAGTGACGGCAACCGTACTGTGTGGACCCTGAGAGTAATGGCAGCAGTACTGTGTGGACCCTGAGATTGACGGCAGCAGTACTGAGGGGACCCTGAGAGTGACGGCAGCAATACTGTGTGGACCCTGAGAGTGACGGCAGCAGTACTGTGTGGACCCTGAGAGTGACGGCAGCATTACTAAGGGGGACCCTGGGATGGACAACAAGAATACTAGGGGACCCTGCAAGTATCATCAGTAGTACTGGTGGGGCTCTGAAAGAGTCCCTGGGAGGGGGTAATAAAAATATCTAGAAGTGATAGCATTATTACTGGTAGGACCCCGCTAAGGATAGCAACATGTGCGATGAAACCTTGGAAGGGACAGCAGTAGTACTAGGGGGACCTTGAGAGGGACAACATCTACTATTGGGTCCTGGATGGGACCGTAGCAGTACCAAGGGGACCCCTTAGGAAAAGTAATGACTGGGCGGGTCGACAACAGTACTTATTGAACCATGTCGTGGATGACAAGTGTACTAGGAGGACCTTCGAGGACGGCAATAATACTTATTTCCCCTGATCTTCACCCAGGTAGATCTGGAATGGAGAGTATGTGAAAAAAAGATCTTCAACTAGGCACGAATAGTTACAACATATTGATAAGATGAAGGGAGCTCAACCAGGGCCATTATGGCACTGACATGGGTTGGGCGTCTGGTTCAATGATGACACCGACATGGGTTGGGCGTCTGGTTCAATGGTGACACCTACATAGGATGGACGTCTGGTTCAATGGTGACACCGACATAGGATGGACGTCTGGTTCAATGGTGACACCGACATAGGATGGACGTCTGGTTCAATGGTGACACCGACATAGGATGGACGTCTAGTTCAATGGTGACACCGACATGGGACCGACGTCTAGGTCAATGATGACACCGACATGGGTTGAATGTCTGGTTCAATCATAACACCGAGAGTGGACGTCATGACACCTGGTCCGACTGAAGACCGCTAGCCCAACCCGTCCCCTTAAAAATAACGTCGCTTCCGGCTCGTATGCGCGCTATAACCAAAAGTGAACGTAAATTGAAATGAAATCGGCTCACGAAAGTGACGTAGTCGGGTTTTCTGTTTGAGTCGTCTGGCTTACTCGGAAAGTTTAGGAGACGAAACTTTCAATTAACGTTTTGAAACTTTATGAGAATTTCTTGCCCATCTAACCTATCAGAGGACCCTTAACTAACTGTTGTTGAAAAAAAAATATCAATTTTTTTTTATTTTTTTCATTTTCAAATTATGTCGGCCATACGTGCAAACGGCCAAAAGCGACGTTATTATTAGGAGGACAAGTTGGCCCACAGAACGCGATTAATGCTCTCTGGGGATCGATCTGGCAATTGTCTTCAATTGCCCACTTCATTTGACTTGTGGTCCCGTTATCACCTGATGTCAAAGGAAGATGAAAAAGGATCGTTGTCTCGCTTTGCCGAGAGTTAACAAGCCTTGGAGGTCTCTTGACGTGGCCTCGGGGCGTGCTCTAATCAGCTGCTGGTCACTGGAAAACGTTGCTGCATTTTAGCCTGAGTATCAACTTTTAGATGGACCTTTGTGATTTTGCCGTCAGGTTTTGAATTTGTTTGGCTACCCACAAATCGCAAGACGCTTGATTCTTGTATAATCTGGGGTTCATTGGCTGTTAATAGATAGTCTTGGAATTATCTGTGCTGGTGGGGGTCCGGCGCACGCCAGTTTGATTTAAATTTGGGTTACTAATTTTTTTATGCTGACAGTCAACGTATAACCTCAGGGATTCAGATTTTCCCCTTCAAGTGAACGACGGGGTACATAGGGTCCTATGCTGTAGCTGTTCCTAACTCGTACATAATAATACTATAGGAGACACTTGACTTAAATCACCCATCGAAGGAGCAATTCAGGACATTTATGCAAGGGACAGAATATCTTGTCACCAACCATCACTAATGTTACTACTAAGGCACTCCCCTTATTATTAAATTAGCAATGATTGCCACTGAATGACCGCCACTGAGTACCGAATATGACTACACAAAGCGTAACTTACCTCGAGTGGACCACCGACGAGGCCACCGTACAGGACGTGGGGGTTGGGACCTGGCTGGGTGAACGCCCACCCGAAGTCACACACCTCCGGAGGCTCCGGGCATGAGCTGAGGAAGATAAAGATCCTGTGAGGGAACTGTAACTTTATCTGTAATTATTTGCTTTAACTATTCAAACAAAGTTCTTAACTGGACCGAGTTCTTGGTAAAGGAGAGGATAATATTTATTTATCTGCATGTGTTGGGAACAATTAGTTAATTTAGTAAGTTATTATGCACTCCATACGCATTCCGTGGGCGGTGGTGCAGCACTGTGTGTATCCTGAGAGTGACAGCAGCAGCACTGTGTGGACCCTGAGAGTGACGGCAGCAGTACTGTGTGGACCCTGAGAGTGACGGCAGCAGTACTGTGTGAACCCTGAGAGTGACGGCAGCAGCACTGTGTGGACCCTGAGAGTGACGGCAGCAGTGTGGACCCTGAGAGTGACGGCAGCAGTACTGAGGGGACCCTGAGAGTGACGGCAGCAGTACTGTGTGGACCCTGAGAGTGAGTGACGGCAGAGTGAGGCAGCAGCACTACTGAGTGGACCCTGAGAGTGACGGCAGCAGCACTGTGTGGACCCTGAGAGTGACGGCAGCAGCACTGTGTGGACCCTGAGAGTGACGGCAGCAGTACTGTGTGGACCCTGAGAGTGACGGCAGCAGTACTGTGTGGACCCTGAGAGTGACGGCAGCAGTACTGTGTGGACCCTGAGAGTGACGAGTGACGGCAGCAGCACTCTGTGGACCCTGAGAGTGACGGCAGCAGTACTGTGTGGACCCTGAGAGTGACGGCAGCAGCACTGTGTGGACCCTGAGAGTGACGGCAGCAGCACTGTGTGGACCCTGAGAGTGACGGCAGCAGCACTGTGTGGACCCTGAGAGTGATGGCAGCAGTACTGTGTGGACCCTGAGAGTGACAGCAGCAGTACTGAGTGGACCCTGAGAGTGACGGCAGCAGTACTGTGTGGACCCTGAGAGTGACGGCAGCAGTACTGAGGGGACCCTGAGAGTGACGGCAACAGTACTGTGTGGAACCTGAGAGTGACGGCAGCAGTACTGAGTGGACCCTGAGAGTGACGGCAGCAGTACTGTGTGGACCCTGAGAGTGACGGCAGCAGTACTGTGTGGACCCTGAGAGTGACGGCAGCAGTACTGTGTGGACCCTGAGAGTGACGGCAGCAGTACTTAGGGGACCCTGAGAGTGACGGCAGCAGTACTGTGTGGACCCTGAGAGTGACGGCAGCAGTACTGTGTGGGCACCCTGAGAGTGACGGCAGCAGTACTAAGGGGACCCTGAGAGTGACGGCAGCAGTACTGAGGGGACCCTGAGAGTGACGGCAGCAGTACTGTGTGAACCCTGAGAGTGACGGCAGCAGTACTGAGGGGACCCTGAGAGTGATGGCAGCAGTACTGTGTGGACCCTGAGAGTGACGGCAGCAGTACTGAGGGGACCCTGAGAGTGACGGCAGCAGTACTGTGTGGACCCTGAGAGTGACGGCAGCAGTACTGTGTGGACCCTGAGAGTGACAGCAGCAGCACTGTGTGGACCCTGAGAGTGACGGCAGCAGTACTGAGGGGACCCTGAGAGTGACGGCAGCAGTACTGTGTGGACCCTGAGAGTGACGGCAGCAGTACTGAGAGGACCCTGAGAGTGACGGCAGCAGTACTGTGTGGACCCTGAGAGTGACGGCAACCGTACTGTGTGGACCCTGAGAGTAATGGCAGCAGTACTGTGTGGACCCTGAGATTGACGGCAGCAGTACTGAGGGGACCCTGAGAGTGACGGCAGCAATACTGTGTGGACCCTGAGAGTGACGGCAGCAGTACTGTGTGGACCCTGAGAGTGACGGCAGCAGTACTAAGGGGGACCCTGGGATGGACAACAAGAATACTAGGGGACCCTGCAAGTATCATCAGTAGTACTGGTGGGGCTCTGAAAGAGTCCCTGGGAGGGGGTAATAAAAATATCTAGAAGTGATAGCATTATTACTGGTAGGACCCCGCTAAGGATAGCAACATGTGCGATGAAACCTTGGAAGGGACAGCAGTAGTACTAGGGGGACCTTGAGAGGGACAACATCTACTATTGGGTCCTGGATGGGACCGTAGCAGTACCAAGGGGACCCCTTAGGAAAAGTAATGACTGGGCGGGTCGACAACAGTATTTATTGAACCATGTCGTGGATGACAAGTGTACTAGGAGGACCTTCGAGGACGGCAATAATACTTATTTCCCCTGATCTTCACCCAGGTAGATCTGGAATGGAGAGTATGTGAAAAAAAGATCTTCAACTAGGCACGAATAGTTACAACATATTGATAAGATGAAGGGAGCTCAACCAGGGCCATTATGGCACTGACATGGGTTGGGCGTCTGGTTCAATGATGACACCGACATGGGTTGGGCGTCTGGTTCAATGGTGACACCTACATAGGATGGACGTCTGGTTCAATGGTGACACCGACATAGGATGGACGTCTGGTTCAATGGTGACACCGACATAGGATGGACGTCTGGTTCAATGGTGACACCGACATAGGATGGACGTCTAGTTCAATGGTGACACCGACATGGGACCGACGTCTAGGTCAATGATGACACCGACATGGGTTGAATGTCTGGTTCAATCATAACACCGAGAGTGGACGTCATGACACCTGGTCCGACTGAAGACCGCTAGCCCAACCCGTCCCCTTAAAAATAACGTCGCTTTCGGCTCGTATGCGCGCTATAACCAAAAGTGAACGTAAATTGAAATGAAATCGGCTCACGAAAGTGACGTAGTCGGGTTTTCTGTTTGAGTCGTCTGGCTTACTCGGAAAGTTTAGGAGACGAAACTTTTAATTAACGTTTTGAAACTTTATGAGAATTTCTTGCCCACCTAACCTATCAGAGGACCCTTAACTAACTGTTGTTGAAAAAAAAATATCAATTTTTTTTTATTTTTTTCATTTTCAAATTATGTCGGCCATACGTGCAAACGGCCAAAAGCGACGTTATTATTAGGAGGACAGGTTGGCCCACAGAACGCGATTAATGCTCTCTGGGGATCGATCTGGCAATTGTCTTCAATTGCCCACTTCATTTGACTTGTGGTCCCGTTATCACCTGATGTCAAAGGAAGATGAAAAAGGATCGTTGTCTCGCTTTGCCGAGAGTTAACAAGCCTTGGAGGTCTCTTGACGTGGCCTCGGGGCGTGCTCTAATTAGCTGCTGGTCACTGGAAAACGTTGCTGCATTTTAGCCTGATTGAGTATCAACTTTTAGATGGACCTTTGTGATTTTGCCGTCAGGTTTTGAATTTGTTTGGCTACCCACAAATCGCAAGACGCTTGATTCTTGTATAATCTGGGGTTCATTGGCTGTTAATAGATAGTCTTGGAATTATCTGTGCTGGTGGGGGTCCGGCGCACGCCAGTTTGATTTAAATTTGGGTCACTAATTTTTTTATGCTGACAGTCAACGTATAACCTCAGGGATTCAGATTTTCCCCTTCAAGTGAACGACGGGGTACATAGGGTCCTATGCTGTAGCTGTTCCTAACTCGTACATAATAATACTATAGGAGACACTTGACTTAAATCACCCATCGAAGGAGCAATTCAGGACATTTATGCAAGGGACAGAATACCTTGTCACCAACCATCACTAATGTTACTACTAAGGCACTCCCCTTATTATTAAATTAGCAATGATTGCCACTGAATGACCGCCACTGAGTACCGAATATGACTACACAAAGCGTAACTTACCTCGAGTGGACCACCGACGAGGCCACCGTACAGGACGTGGGGGTTGGGACCTGGCTGGGTGAACGCCCACCCGAAGTCACACACCTCCGGAGGCTCCGGGCATGAGCTGAGGAAGATAAAGATCCTGTGAGGGAACTGTAACTTTATCTGTAATTATTTGCTTTAACTATTCAAACAAAGTTCTTAACTGGACCGAGTTCTTGGTAAAGGAGAGGATAATATTTATTTATCTGCATGTGTTGGGAACAATTAGTTAATTTAGTAAGTTATTATGCACTCCATACGCATTCCGTGGGCGGTGGTGGAAAGGGTTATTGAGGCACATAATTGGTTCAGGAACAAACCCGATAGTTAGTTTGGGTAAGCAAGTCGCAATCTTATGAGGCTAGTTACACTCATACGCCTGAAAGGATACGAATCCACACCAAAGCGCTCGTGAAGCACAGGACGAGTGTTTTACCACTGCGCTACTGTGACTACACGATTCATAGATGCACGGTTCTCCCCTGCATAATAGATTGTGAATAGATGGAGTAACTGATGTGAATTTCACTTTGCCTCAAGTCTACTAGATTTTGTTGCTGTTCTCGGAATATTGCTGCCCTTAGGCTCTTTAAAGGCAATCCAAGATGGTAACCAATTCCCTCTTTACAAGCAAATGTTTTTGCTAATTCATCAGTGTCATCATGAATTCTGAGACCAGTATCGAAAAGAATCCAAGGGAAACAAACTCTTGATTCCATTATTATTTCATTATATATGTACCTAGCTTCAGACACAAGAGCGTTACAATTAGGCCTTGGGGATCAGAGTGCAATCAAGGATCATTAGGAGTCACTAGCAATTAATGTGTTCACTTTGAAATCATATACTCGTTACAGTGCAAATATAATGACAAATAATGTTGTCTGAAGAGTGGAGGCCCAGTTATACGAATTCTACACACATGGGAATAGGAGCCATATCCCGCTGTCAGAATATGGAAAAGGAGCCATAAACGAAAATAATTTGGGAGAGGGAGCGCTTTCTGACCAGAGCATCAATTTGATTTAGGGGATTGTACTTTGTTTCTTGTCGAAGCATGGGTTGTTCTTTAATCAGCTTCTTGGATGGAAAATGGGGATAGTAAGTTAGAAAGTGGTGCAGAAGAGTGTTGTCACTTTTTGTAGGAACGATGAACACATTCAAGAGCAGTTGCAACTTTTTGTAATCCATTTAGAGGAATACTGACCTACAAGAAAGAAGGCTTGGAGAGCTTCTGCTTAGAGATTGAGAGGGGTTAGCCTTAACATCTTGGTACCAATTAAAGCATTGATTTTAATGTTTTAATTCTCTTCTTCTTGAGAATAGGTGCAGTTTGCATGAAGGGGTAACCCTCCCGATGACTGCACCAGAACAGATGTAAGGAGACGCGTTGATGGTAAAGAAGAGAAGAAAGTCAAAAGCGGTAGACGTGATGGGCCGTAGAGAGAGGAGTGGCGACGAAAACAGAGGCGAACGTCAGAGGGAGACTCCCCGCACCGGGGGGCGGGGCGTCATGGTCACGGTGACAGCTGATCCAGGCACGGCGTAGCGGTGCGCGCAAGACGGGAACTAATATTTCTCCGGAAACTTACGGTACGGAAAGCGCAAGCGGTACGCCTCCCAAACCACCCACAGGTCGGCGGGCAGCCTGCCATCAGGCTGGACCCTCGGCTGAGACATCCTATCCGGCACCCTATAAACAAACTCCTTCTTTGACGACACCCAGATGGTTGACGAGCACCACGGGATCGGAAGCACCCGGGCATCCCGATAAGGGCCCAACTCCGGACCCTCACAGGGCACGACCCCAGCAGACGGGACTAGGCAACCCCCAGACCGGGGCAAGGAAGGAGGGGGAACTGCAGGCGCGGCAGCGACCCCACCACAGGGCACAGGAGCCGAGGCTCCCTGGCGCACATCTGTCCGCAACTTCACAACGAGGTCCCGACCATCAGGGACAACCCCCCACTGTGGGGACCCAACAGCAGGTGACACAGGAAGGGGGGCACAGGGAGCAACGTCGGAGCCCCTCACAGCACCATCATCCTCGGCGGGGGACGCCAGCTGAGCACCATACTCCCCCACCTCCTCCCAAGGCACACCACGAAGGGGGGAGACACTCCGAGCCCGCCGCGAACGCTTCGAGACAGGCCGCACCACACCACGCCCAGCAGGCCCCGCCGCAGGCACAGCCTCCACCGTCATATCCACACAGGCCACACCCGCACCGTCCGAAGAGTCCACAGAGGCCACATCACCCACACTGTCTACATCATCCACGGAAACAGCCTCAGAACACCGACGCGCGCGCTTCTGCAAAGGAATGGGAAGAGCAGAACTACAGGAGGCAACACACTCAGGCACGGCAGGCACCTCACCACGAAGCACCCCCTCCAAAACGGCAGAACCCGCGTCCCCGGGAGCCGGTAACACATCCACAGGCGGGGGCGGAACATGAACCTCCACCGGGACACCTTTCACTACACACAGCTCAGGCGACAGCCCGACACCCTCACACACCGGCTGAACAACCCCAGGGGCCACAGCTGGCACTAGACGTGGCGCACAGGCTGGAGAGCTCTCCTCAACAGGCGGAGCAGCAGACAGGCAGGCAGGCGCCTCAGGCACAGCACCAACACCGCCCGAACGCAACAGGGGCGGAAAATCCTCCGCACGAAGAACATGCACACGACCAGTCGCTCCCACGTCGCACGCAGCAGCCAGATGACCCTCGTGACCACACCGATAACAGGTGCGCGGTTGACCCCGGTACTGGCAGCGGAGCGTGTATCCCAACACGGACATCGACGACGGTACACTACCCTTCAGCGACATCGTCAGGGTGCGGGAGCCGTCAAGCATACCAACACAGTGCCCGGCAACGACCTTGTTCCAACGAACACTCAACACTGTCCCAAACCGTTCGAAACAGGAGGTTAAAAAGTCGTCCTGAAATTCGAAGGGGGCACCATGCACCGTCACAGACGTCAAGGTGACACTAAGATTCACTACCTTAACTGAGCCAGCTGAATCAGGGAGAGGGTAAACACGCCCCTCACACCGTTCGAGAAACGCCTGAAAGGCAGCCTGGAGGCGGAACTTGACCACAGCACGGTGGCCCTGAAGCAGCTGGATGCCCACCAGGTCAGACAGCTGCACATGCAGCACGTCTACTAGGGCGACACCAACCAATGGATGGTCCACCGGCACCGTAAACGCCAGACCAGCTGACAGCGTCCTCTGCAATGGAGGGCGAAACGTCCCCATGGCGAAGCAAACGTCACCCCGTCAGTGGCAAACCACCACCAGCAGGGCAAACAAGCGATCACCCAACGTAAACACTAGCCAGTGCGGAGAGACCTCAGGAACGGCCGACCCGGCCGGCGGTCACCACGCAACTCCCATGTTTTAATTCAGTTGCTTCCTTGTGTTTAGTAATTTTGTTGTATAAGGATGTCCGAGGATAATCCTTATAGCTTCGTTTTGCATATTTTTCAGCCCACAAAGCATTCTCTGAAGCACGAGATTCAGTATTATCGATCAGAGATCTAATAAATGAAATGTACATCATTTTGGCAATTCTGACATTTGCGCCATATCCTTGAGATCACGGAGCCTCTCTCCACATAGCCAGTCTGGCTATGACATGGCCATAATGTGAAACCTCAAGAACTAGGTATTTTAATATTTTTAAATAGTTAAGCAGAGAGCCATCATACAGCTTCATCTTGCAAACAGCTCCACTCGGTCTATGTGGTCGTTAATTCAGGGTGTCTTTTTTTTTCTAATGAGATGACTAAGCCTGTTCCTGACATGTTGGTGTACCCATTTTTATGGATCAGTTTATCATCCACATAGCTAATGATGAGTTCGCTTGGCCTCCTATTCACTGAGTTTAGGGGTGCATTGATTAACACAAATTGATTGATGAGCCAGTTGATTGACAGTTGAAAGGCGCGAACAAAAATGACGAAGCTCAAACCCCGCAAGTAAGTAATTATCAAAAGAAGGCACCAAACTGGGAAGGCTATGTAGCACCATCAAATGTGCGGAATAATCAGAGGGCGCTAAATATCATCAAGGATGCCAATACGAGAACAAAAACGCATAAGGGGCCATGTCACCCGAAAATCCGATGAAAAATGGAATATTTACGAAAAATTACGAAAAATACTACAACGTTCTGGCAACACTGTGGTCCAAACCGTTTAATGATATCTTGAAAAATAACGTAATTAGAGTCAAATTTCCCGCTGCAACTTTCGTGAATCTGGTCCTCGCGCCGTGAGTACGCCGCGGGGTATTGTATCTTACGTTGTAGATGTCTTATTTTTCGTAATAGCGTTGAAAATAACATGTTAAGCATAAAATGAATATAAACTAACCATATGGCAACACAACATATGGTCTGACACGAGGGTGGTGCAGTCAGTGACTGCGTGTCTCTCATGGAGAGAGGATGTAAGCTGACGCGCTCACACAATATCTCCCAGAACATGCTATTTTTGGATTTTTAGCTATTTGTACTGCAATATGACTTACCAAACGAACAAGAGAGAAGCATTGACAGCTAGATGCATGCGAGCTCTCCATACGAGCTGGCCGCAATGCGTAAATCACCACTCACGAGTGACCGCAGGTAGAGAAACTTTGAGAGCGCGCTACGCAACTCCAACTTTTAAAACTAGATAAAATTTCACAGCCTTTATTTATTATTCTATTTACATGAAACTTGCACATTATATGTAGAAAAAACGCCTCTATAAACGCATGTCATTATTCTTATCTACGTAGATTTATTGATTTTATAAATAATGATACACCTCATTTTGTTGCATACGTTTTTGGGAAACTTTTATAAAATCTGTATTATTGCACTAAATACATCTGGGATAATAATGTGACATGCAAATCTTTATTATATAGTAAGGTCATAGCTGAGTGTCTTATAAATGATTTTGGTTCACAATTGTGGGCTGTGAAATTTTTTTTGAACATGGTTGAAAAATTCGTCTTTTTTTTTTTTTTTTTTTTTTTTTTTTTTTTTTTTCTCCGTCTCTATTTAGGCTGAGATGCTGAAAC